AATTGCTACTATACGACGTGATTATGTAATACCACCACACCAAGTTATATAGGTTAGAAGAACCTTTACCACCAGATCAATATAATGGTTATGCTCAAATTAAAAAAGAAAATCATTCAACATGTTTATTAACATGTGGTAAACATGAATATACTAGATGAGGATTTAAATTATTATTAGATAATAATTGTGTTTATATTCTTCAACCTGATATAACTTGGTGTGGTGGTATTACATAATCACGTCGTATAGTAGCAATTGCATCTGCTTATGATGTACCTTATTATTCCTCATGGTTCATCTATTTATTCATATAATTTACAATGTGCATTTCCAAATTTACCAATGAGTGAATTTATATTACTTTCATATAATGGTGATAATATAATACCTTGTTTTGGACAATTATTTGATGATGAACCATTACCTATTGATGGATGGATTTATTTAGATAAAAATAAAGTAGGTTTTGGTGTCACACTTAATAAGATAAATATTTATCGTCCTTATAATAGAGATGATCAAACAAAATAAATTTATTATTTCATAACTATTATATTATTATTATTATTATTAAGTTATCTTTTTATTTTATTTATTAATAATAATAAATAAAAAAAAGAATAATCTATTCCATTAAATTAAAGATCTAATATATTTACTGATTAATTGTGAAAAATCGATATAAGACAATATATTTAATGATGATTCGTTACTTTTTGTTTCTTAACATTTGTTTATGTTGTAAGCTAATATCCTCATATAAATTGTCGAACATTTACTTAGGGGTAAACAAAAGTTCTCAAAGAATTAAATAAAAATATAAAGATTTTTAGATATTTTCAATTTTATTTTATTAAATGTTAAGAATAGTTGCCATGATTATTTATATAAAGTACAATCTTTTCTAACAATTTAGTAAAAGTTTTTTTTTAAAGTCTTTTTCGAAAAAATATTTAGCTACCTTGGAAACCACATGAGCTAATCATATTTCATTTATTTAATCAGTTAAACTACGTTCAATAAAATTAGTTAGCCATAAATTACATAGTAACAGGCTTGGCGAATGTGGCTCCTATGACATTATATTGATGCCTTATTCTGTCGAATAATTAATCACATCAGATGAGTATGAAGTCAACGATCATCTTTAAGCAATTTTATATATTTTGAAGCTGATATCTATGTTTGTTTTTATATTTCATTAATAGAAGAGTTCAAATAATTTTCAATATAATACTTTCGATCTAAAGTCTTGCCTTTATCTAACTCCGGGCTATTTGATTTAATGAATATACAAAACAAAGTTTTGCTTCACATATTATTTCTCCCTGAACAATAGTCTTTGATAATTCATCTTCAATAATCCAGTTAGTATAAGATGACTTATGACTGACCTATATGTAAAATAAATCCATATCCGATTACTAAATAGTAAACTGATATGATCGAACAAAATTCCACGAAATTTAAAAAACAAATGAAATATGATTAGTTCATG